TTTCAATAAAGTATTACAATGAAGAAATATGCAGTAACACAGTGTATAATAGAAATCACTGAACTCTGTCTTGTTAGCCTATACATTTCAATGTGTCCCCTGTCTTGCGATTAAAAGCATGTTATACTTCCGATCATTGTACCTTACTTGGGAGCGTATGTACTTAAACTTAACAGGAAGAAGACTTGTTTCCATACTGTTACTAAAATACTTTAAAAGACTTTAGTACAACATTATTCTGCAAAGGTCTCTTTATTGGTTTAATAAACTTTATGGTTAAATACTTGACATATTCATGCATGTCATTCCAGTGCTCTCTGTTGACCCTAAAATAGCTAGCAGGACAGCATTCCAGAGTGAATTTTGCAGTACCAATTGATATCACCCTACAACGGGGGATCACAGACAGTATTGCTATACTCTTGAACTATAAAAGTAATCTTTCTTGTTCAACCCTTAACCTGGTGGAAGCTACAGTGATGAGACTTTGCCACCAGTATAGAGCCAGGCATGCATGCACACCCATGCAGTCTGAAGGCACTATACTGCTGGTAGCTCTATTTTTGTGTTTTGTTATTGAAATCCCTTAAACTCTAAATGGACAGCTGATTAAGTCAAAACTTGGCAATTTCATAATTCAGCATAAAAAAAATAAAAAAATGGGGATAATTTGTATTTACCTTTATCTTCAGGAATGTTTGGTGACACTTGAGCAGAGTCTGGTCCACTACTGTCAGTATCTAAACGTTTTGTGGGTGTTTTGATCGTCTTGGACGGGCTCACTTTGGGCTGTTTAATCTGTGGGCGGACAGTAGATTTTGCAGGCTCGTGATTCATCTCCTTTTTGAGGTCAACTTTTAACTGAGCAATCTGGTTGTCATATGCCTAAAATATAACATTAACAAAATATGCATTTTCAACTATCAAGTTTTACAAATTCTTTGAGACTGAAATTAAATTTGCAGAAACAATTATTAATACTAAAATCTGACGATTGTAAAATCCTAGTTTTTTTCCAAATGATTTGTTTGTTTTTCTGGTTTTAACACTGATTTCTACACACTTTTTTAGGTTATATTTTGGCATTCAATCCACATAACCAGCTTTCTTGTATAACTAACCAGAAAACAATTTTCTAAAAGTGATTACTATTTAATTTAACCCATGAAATATGGTGCTATATCAGTCAAATATATTTCATATTTTTTAAAAATAAATATGAAATATAAATATGAAAGTGGGTGGAGTCAAAACTCAGATTTATCTTAAGAGACTTCTTTCGCCATTTTATTTGAAAAATCTGATAAATATAAAACAACTTTTTGTTGAATTTTGAAAACTATCTAGAATGATAGAAAATTATTTAACTTAGAAAATAAATCCGAACACAAATATCTTGAATTCAGTCATTAATGCTGTACAGACGTTTAAAGAGTTGTGTTCATGTAGCGCTAAATATCGCGTGCAAAACAAGACAATAATTATATTACTGCTCGCTGTACAATTGCAATTGCGTTGCAAGCAGGGGTGTTTGTAACCATTTTTCTTTGGTAATGAAATTAAATAAAAAGGTTATTTTTTTATTTTTTTTGTGAAATATGGTATATATTTTCACTAAACACTCCCGGCTCGTGAAAATATGTGTCATTTTATCATGTTTCGTGAAAATATATTCAATATTTCACTCAAAAGAAAAATATCCTCGTAATATTTGCTGCCTGTGGATTGTAAAATATTGTTTATATTGTGATAAAGTGATTCCAGAATACTTTGAATGGAAGAAATTGTTAGCATGTTTTATTGAAAGTGAGTCAACATGTTAAGTTATATTGTCATCGGCAAACCTAATTAAAAAAAGCCGAATAATTTGTTCCAGTACATTTTAGTCAGTTTACATAAAATCATTTATGTTCATTAAATTTCAAAGACATTTTATGTTATAAATCTTTCAAGAAAAGGCCATAGTTATTTGTTATGAAAACACCATAATGTTACTTTTTATTTTTATAAAATGTTTCATCAGATATAGCTTCATACATTTTAATTAGTCATCTAACCTAAATATCTTACACTGTAAGCATCATGCTGTGAATTTCTACCTACATCCAATGAAGAGCAGCTCAATAAAAACATCATGTTCTCACTGTATCATGTGACAATGAGTCAAACAAAGTCGGCATTTGCCGAAATTTCAAACAATTACCTCAATCTGTTTCTTTAAAGTTTCTTCTTTGTTCTTCATCAGTTCCTTCTTTTTCTTCTTTCTCTCCCGTTTTAACTTATCGGCCTCAGTTTTCCTTTTTCTCAGTTCTTCATTCAAAGCCCGTATTCTGCCCTCAAAGTCACTCAACTCGGACTGCGATTCTATAAACAGCACACACAAGTTAACATTCTTTATAAATAACTTGGAAATGTACAAACAAGTATATTAGCAATGTGTCTTTACATAGAAGACGTAAAAGTCACTAAAATTTAGAATATACCAAACCAATAAAAGATATTACTAGTGGCTGCAAGATTTCTTCAATACCACGTAACATCTATTTCATAAGCATGTTACTCATATTTTCCATATTCCTTTCATAATAAAAGTAAATTAAAGTAACAGAATATAACAAAATATCTTTTTAAGTTATAAAATTAACTAAGGGGGCAATAATTCAGTAAAATCCTTATCTGTCCCATGCAAAACTTTAATCAACGGCTAAGCCACAAAGAGTAGTATGGAGCAATTACTATTCAAATGGTCAAGCTAGAGGTAATATTCGGAAATTTACCTCTATATTGTTTTCTCTTTCTTTGATTCTCAGTAAGAAATAAAGCATTTAATCAATGTTTGTTTGTATGTTTGGTTTTATGCCAATCTTAACACATTACTTGGCCATAACTTGGTGGTCAGTCCACCTAACAAGCCTTACTGGTTAATTAACTAGTAATATCCAATTTCAATCCTGATTCAATCTCTGATTATTGAATCAGCAGAAAAGTTATATAATTATTAGACTCCAAGTCTGACATCAGCTGTCCCCGAAAATTTTTGCCTCACTTGTGTGTGTTTAGGTTTGTTCACCCTCACCACAATAATAATTAATATATGGGCGTTAAAAGATTCTCTAACTTCTCAGACAATCTGTGGTATAATTTCAACAAAGAATATTTAACTTACCATTCAGTGAAAATGAATCTTCCGACTCGCTCTCAGAGTTTCTCGAATGACTTCTGGAACTAAACAAACCCCTAGGTGACCTTCCAGGGGAGGACAGGCCTCTGTATTTTTTTAGTTTCTCAAGAGGAGACTTGGATGTGGTCTGACTCTTGCTTGTCTTTTTGGATGCAGTGGCTGTGTCATCAAAGGTCTCGTTACCATAGCTGTGCGTCATGGTGTCATCACTTGAATCATTCATCCTGTAAACAACAGAAAATTAAGGCGTAAAATCTCACAAATGCTAGAAATAAACATAAGACAAAGCAAAATATTTCATTATAGCCCACCATTTTACTTTGCTATATTAACCTATGACCTGCACAATAATTTTCTTGGAAAGGTTGTCTAACAATAAAGATTATGTTTATTACATTTCATGATACATTAAGTAATAACTTTACTTAGAATAACTAGATTGTAATTTATGTTTCTGCAGAAAACAGCTCTACAACTTTTCTATTAATGCTTATTCTTTAATGATTTTAGACATATATTACTGGGCACTTTATCTTGCAATTGCTTTTAGAAATTAAAACAGAGGTTATTCTACTTCTTAAAAGTTATAAACACTTACTTCTTAGAATCATCAGCACTAGACACTGATTGAATATCCTCCATGACAGAGCTTTCGCTACCACTTCGGTTATGATTCTTAATATTAGACTTGTCATTCATCATTCGTCGGTGAATCTCCTCTGGCGAACTCTCTAGACTGGCTGTCTTTATGTCTTCTTTGATGCTGGTGTAGAGTGATTCATCATGAGCAGTTGTTATTGTTTCAGAAATTACAGTACTATCTCTATCCTGAGACACTGACATTGTTTTTATTGTAGAATCTAGAAAAATAAATAATTGAATTTATTCTTATCTTTCTCTTTCTTATATAACAGTTTTATATCTCACCAAAACTTTTAAGATCTGATGGTAATTTTCAAGCCAGACCTTAGGTGCCCTTCTGGGCATTACTTCAGGCATGATGGACAGCCGAGTATAACCACTGACCTTTCATAACCTAATTTGACAACTCCCTAACATAAAAGCATCCAAAAATTTTGAAGTCAACAAGTTGGCAACCCTACTCAGCCATGTAATATTTAGCCATGAAATATATCAAGTTTTCTTGGCAAATATTGTGTTAATTTTAATATGAAACCAGGCAAGGGATCTGTAGAGCACAGGAATATTATTTAACATTAAAAAAACAAGATGTAAAATCTCATTACATATTTATTACAATTTGGGAAGAAATTACGAAAATTAATATTTTTAAAAAGCACTTTTGTCTTTTAATAGAATATGAATTTACAACTTTATTCAAAACAGCAGAAAGATGCCACTTTAATAAAGCAATTCATTCATTAAAGGCGTGCTGAATAAGGAATGATGCCACACAACCTGTCTTACAAGGAGTATGAATAGAACATGGATATTCATCCCATATTGTCACTCGAGTCCCTACGAACAGTGATTAAAGGGACTTTTGGAAACACCATTTTGTATTTCCTCAAGCCCAAAAAAACATAGTCTGTAAATAACAAGATACTTCAATATGCAACAATTGGTTATTTATGTATCATAAAGAAATTAGATACCTTTTGTGGTTCCATTATCCTTCTTACTTGATGGCTTTTCTGTTTCACTTTTGGCCGCACTTTGTGATGGTTCTTTCTCCTTCTTCACATCTTTGTCTTTTTTATCCCATACTTTCAATGCTTGTTTTTCCAGTTTAAATACCCTAGATTCTTCCTTGTCCAGCATGGTCTTCCATTTGAGTAGTTCTTCTGCATTCTTCCGCCTATCCATTAACTGGGACTGTCTTTGTGTCAAATACCTTAGGAAAACAAGAGATTTTTGATGTGTTATTTCATTAAAAACATGACATCACTTGTTTTCTATGTTATATAAATATATATTACATATTTCATAATTTCACATACATGATTTTTGTCAATTTGCTGCAATTTTTGACTTCATGATAAAAATATACCTTAAATATGATTTCATAAAGACTTAGATAAAACTTTTCCCAGAAAAGTTATAAAACTTGCAACAACTTTTCCAAGACATGTATTAAACTATATAAAATGATAACTCATTGTAAGATCCTAAACATCTGCAAGTAAACAAGAGCTTACATGAATGCATCATATTACTTGCCTGTAAGACATACTGAGACATAATCTTAATTTTACACTAAACTAAGCAATATTTTGCTTTCATGGTCATGGTCAATTTTTCAGTGAAATCATAATCATGAGCTATAAGAAAAAGTTAACAGCAAGACCTTTAAAATGGAAATGTATTCATTTTTATACACACTAGTATGACGTCATGTCTGTATTTTCAATGAAATATGACCACAAGTTTTATTCTTATAAAACAAATTTAATAGACAGTAACCCTCTGTTTAGCAATAACCTCAACAGTATCAAATCTTCCAAAGATAAAAACTGTACAATGAAGTGAACTTCTAAACTTCAATAACAAAAATCTGTGTGTACAAGATGCCCCCCCCCCACAGGCAGGTTAAGGGTTTGAGTAAGTCTTTATAATATAAAACCTCAGGTAACATCCTCTTTCTTTATACTTAAATAAAATAAGTTGGAATTTACTTACTTTTCATCCAGATGAATCTTCTTGTATTTTTCAGGATTTTGTTTGGATCTTCTTCCACTTATCTTTGGCTCTGTGTAAATCTCAGAGTCAGATTTATAATCCTTTCGCTGTTTCTCTGCATCTGACGCCTCGTCAATCTAAAAATAGAGCATGTCATTACTTAGACCAAAGCAACAGGAACAAGAATAGTGGTTATAACAATAAGTGTCCCCCAATATGCTCAATACACAGAGAACTGCTGAACATAAACAGTAATATTCTTTGAACTTGATAAATATTCAGGGCAATAACAGAGCCATAACTTTGTGTTAAATAGTAAAATCTGGAAATGCCAATGAGATGTATGCATACTACATAACTAATCAAGGGCCATAAATCTGAGTTATAAGTATCTGACTGGAACAAGGAGACTATATGCACATCTCCTCTTAGTATCCCATAAAGTTTCATTGAATTCCAGCCAGTAGTAGCAGAGAAGTAGCGAGGTAACAAATAAATTTCTATATGGATACTGCATAACTAATCAAGGGCCATAACTCTGAGTTAAAGTGTCTGACCGGAACAAGCCGACGATATGGGCATCTCCTCTTGGTATTGAAGGTTCCCATAAAGTTTCGTTGAATTCCAGCCAGAAGATGCAGAGAAGTAGTGCGGAAACGATTTTTACTCTATATGCATACTACATAACTAATCAAGGGCCATAACTCTGAGTTAAAGGGTCTGACCGGAACAAGCCGACAATATGCTTATCTCCTCTTGATATTGATGATTCCCATAAAGTATCGTTGAATTCCAGCCAGTAGTTGCAGAGAACTACTCTGGAGACGATTTTTACTCCATATGCATATTGCATAACTAATCAAGGGCCATTACTCTGAGTCAACGGTTCGGACCGGAACAAGCCGACGATATGCGCATCTCCTTTTGGTATTGAAGGTTCCAATAAAATTTTGTTGAATTCCAGCCAGTAGTTGCAGAGAACTACTCCGGAAACGAAATTCGGACGGACGGATGGACGGACGGACAACGCCAAAACTATATCCCCCTCCTGATTCCACCGGCGGGGATAATAAGGAAAGAAGAATTCTATATTAAATATTCTCTATATAAAGCAAAGAAAATAGTTTTTTCAATAATTCATTGAAAACTGTTAATAGGCTAGCATGTTGAACTATACTCAGATCTTCATAGTAAAACAAGAGTCTGTATAATGTAGAATTTTCTACAAGAGCCTGGATAATGTGGAATGTTCTAAGTTCAAAAACGGCCATTATTCTGTCAAAATCCAAATTGGAGTATCAACCCATTTCCTTCAATCATTTTGAGATACAAACTGGCAAGAACTTAACTGAAGGATGACCCCGATCCCGAGTGAAAACAATACCTCTTCTTGTTCTTCCAATAGTCAAGCTTGAAATAGCATTTTGTTTAATAATTAAATTTGAAACTTAACTAAAAGATGACACCGATGCCCTAGTTAGAACAGAAGCTCTCCATATTCTTTGAATTGTTAAGCTTTAAATATTTTTGTTTTTTGTTTAATAATTAAGTGTGACAGTCATTTGAAGCAATCAACATGATTTGAAGAAATTTAGCACACATCTGCAGGCAATTGCTCCTTTAAGTCACATCTACATTGTAAAGGCAACATAGCTACTTTCCAGATTTTCTATGTGTGCCCTTCACCTAAGTAGAACCACCAATGTTAGGTAAGGTAGCTGGAAAGCTTTCTCACATGAAGGAAATTTAAGTCCCTAGGGAAATTGGAACCCATAGCTGTGACAGTTAATGGTACAAAATAAAAAACCTCAAACACTTGGCCATGAATGCCCCTGAGATGAATTGTCTCTTAATTTTAAAATCATTGAAGATGTTAAGCTTTAATCCTCCTCTTTTTAAATTAGGAATCTGGGCATACAAGAGCCAACTTTATTATTCAACCACTATGATACAAAAACACAGATATTTACATTATCACTTACAAACTTATACTCACCGAGCTAACTTCTGCCTCAGTGTGAACTTCTTTTGGTCGTCCAAGCCTACCTCTTGGTGTGGCTACAGACTTTGTCTTACTCTGTAACAAACAATATTCTATATTAGATATTAATAATTTAAACAAGAAATGGTTGGACCAAATTATGCTCCCCTAATAGGTTTTGGACACAGACAATAATACCTCTTTTAGTTTCAGAGATATGTCCCTTACTAAATTGAAAGTGCAATAATTTTGGGCAAGACAGAGTTACTGTTCTTTGAACTGCTCATTTACCCAATGATATCTATCAACTTACAAAGTTTCTTGTTCATATCTCTTATAGTGTCAGAGTTATGTCCCAAACAAAGTTTAAAATGTAAATATGAACAAAGGGCAATAACTCAAAAATTAGGCAATGCAAAGTTATGGGTCTTTTGCACTGCACATCTACCCAATGGGATCTATCTATCTACAAAGTTTCTTGTTCATATCTATTTTACCTTCAGAACTATGTCCTGGACAATGTTCAAAGTGTAAGAATGGACAAAGGGCAATTACTCCGTAAGTAACATTTTAAGTCTTTGGTTGAGTTTCAATTCATACTAACACTGTAAAAGTTTTATATATCAAGACTTTTTGGCATTAATGTTGGAGGTACCCAATGTTCTCCCATTTGCTTTATTTCATGCACAGACAGACAGACAACCTTCTTGTAGAAGCAGGCACCCTAAG